TTACTTATTGCTAACTTGACATATTCAGTTTGATCGCCTGGTGTAATGAATATATTCTCAAAGCTAAATTGATTATCTTGACACTTGCTCTTGGCAAAATACAAAGAAAGTTTCTAACTTCAAATATAAGGTCTACATATTACTTCATTATAGAATTTGAAAGCTAGAGGAATTACGATAGTCTTTAAAGATCAAAGACATTTTGTTGTTGAGTTGATGAAACTATGAATTTAAGCCAATCTGAATATAGTAGGCCCAGGTATAAAGACTATCTGAAACGTAAATGTGATATATGGTGCCTTTTCCCCAATAACTTACACCTGAACAAAATAGGGGGCAGACTAGGCATATTCAGTTTGCAAAGATAGCAATCTCTGATATACTATGTTCTAGTTATTATGTTTTCTAGGAATTGTTATCTTAAAACTTCCTGTGAAAGCATGTGGCCAGCAATAGCTAATTGGAAAACTTTAGGTGGGCATTATCATGACATTTTAAAAACTGCTTACTTAGTGTAAAAAAGGTCACAGTGGTAAGAACAAGAAAGCCACTAAAACTGTCATGTGGACTTCATGAAACACAAAAGTTGGCCCTCCATATCTATGAGTCCACATCTACAGACCTAACCAACCATGCATAGAAAATATTGTAGGGCAGGAAGCAATTAAGTGGTCAAAGCAATCCTTCAAAAGCTACGAGGGAGTATAAAATTCTATTTAAATAGCATTTATATTGTATTGTTGTTATTGTTATGTGCTGTGGAGTCAGACCCGACTCATAGCGACCCCTCCTTGGGTTTCCAAGGCAGTATCACTACTGAAGCAGATTGCCCCATCTTCCTTCTGAGGAGTGGCTGGTGGATTTGAACCGCTAGCCTTCTGGTTAGCAGTCAAGTGCCTTAGGCACTACGCTACCAGAGCTCCCCCCTTAAGGATTATAGCCTAGAAAACCCATGGGGGCACTCCTACTCTGTCAATAGGGTCACTATGAGTTGAAAATTGCCTCAACAGCACCTAACAGCAACAACAATAATAGTATCTGCCTAAGAGTCGCTGAGAGAAATAAATGAGTTATTCATGTGGTGCACTTAGCACCATGCCTGGGACCAAGTAAGCTCTCGATACACTTGAAATATTGTTTTAGACAAGTGTAGAAATCAAGTTCAGCATCTGGCTGATGTTACCTTTCGCCTGTTATTGTAGAATATCTCTTTGGTGACTCTGTTAGGCAGAATAACAGATTTTCAAAGATGTCCATGTCCTAATCCATAGGCACTCTGAATATGTTATCTTACATAGCCAAGAGGACTTTACAGGTGTGATTACATTAAGGATCTTGAGATGAGGAGATTCTTCTAGATTATCTGGTGGGTGCAATGCAATCACAAAACCAGTTGCTGTCAGAGCAGAAGAATGTTCCATAAGGTTTTTGTTTGTTATG